CCTTTTAATATATTTTAATTAATTTTAAAATTTAATTAAAAGAATAAGTTTTAATAGGTGGTCAATTGTACATAGCTAAAACGATTAGAGGCGACTCTCTTTATTTTATTTTTCCTAAAAATTCGTCTAGTGGTCTCTAAAATTGTTGTGATAGTTATTTAAAAAAAATAGAAATGTTAACCTCCCCAGGTTTTTATCTTTTCTTTTTTCCTTTATTTTATTTTTTTTGTTTGAATTTACCGATCTTAATTGATATGTAAATTATTTAACTAGTGTTTAAAAAATTTGAAAATTTTGATATTGGTAACAACTTTAAGAAAGAAGAAAGAATTGATAAAAGAGAAATTCAATCAAAAAGCCTCAAAATTTTTGTTAAATTTATGTTTAAGTAAAATTACTTTGACATTTGTCCTAAATTATATCAATTGGTGGCTGGTTATTGTTACATACTAGTTGATACCCCTCGCTTCACCAAGGAATTTTATTTTTATAAATGTTTATATTAAATTAATTGTTAAATATAATTTTAATTAAATTATATTAAATAATAATTGTTTATTTAAATAAATTTTATTTTTTGTTTATTTTAATATATGTATTGATATTAATGTAATCATATTTTATTAATTAAAATTGTAAATCACATCAAAATAGTAAATCACCATAGCTAAAACTGGAAAATACAGCAAAATTTTTTCAAACTATGAAATCAATAAATTCGATAGTCTCCCATTCTTTATCTTTGTTTCACCAAAACAGAGCCATAATCTCTTCTTTATTTTCTTCTCAAACCTAAACCCATATACATTTCTAGCAAAAAATATTTTTCAAACCAAATAGTAAAGACAATCTTTTAAGCCAATTACACAATTTATGCAGCCAAAAATGCTTAAAAAGAGTAATTTAAATCCTTAATCAAATTGAAAAACCTCCAACTTCTTTTTACTCAACTTTTATCTAGTTTTGCCACCAAAATAGAGCTCTTATTGACAACAAAACCATCCACCAACACATAAAATTTTTTGGATTTTGACCTAGGATAATTATTTGGAATCGTCTTTTAGATATGTATGCAAAATATGGGAGTTTGTCTTATTAAATCTATACAAAATCCATAGTAATTTGCTCCCATTTCCATTCTAGAATAAGTAGAGGTTTCAACAATCCCGTTGGCCTCTAATGTTTAGCTTTAACTTGTTGACAAGTTAAACACTTCACAACAAATTGGGCAATCTCCCTCGTCATATTATTCCACCAAAAAGTGCTTCACAAATCCCTATACATCTTTGCACTACCAAGATGAATAGTATAATTACTATAATGATCTTCCTCCAAAATTTCTCTTTTCAGTTATGAGTCATTCAGAACACAAACTCTATCATCGAACCTCAAAGAGCCATCCTCATGAATCTTAAAGTTTGGCTTTGAAGCAGAATCCACCTATAGTGTAATGTTTTGGAGTTAGGGATCATTAGTTTAAACATCTTTATTCCTCTTAATTAAGTTAGGTTGGACTTGTAAGTTAGCCAAGTAAGCTCTAAAACCTTGTATTCACACATCAATATCCATTCTCGTCAATTCTTCGAAAACCTATCTTTGAGAAGTTATTATTGTAGCCAAATTTCGAGCAAACTTTTTATTGAAAGCATCAGCTACCATATTTGCCTTACTTGAATGGTAACTAATAGTCAAGTCATAGTCCTTTAACACTTTTAATCGTCTCTTTTGCCTCATATTCAATTTTTTCTAGGTGAAAAGGTATTTCAAACTCTTATGGTTTGTACAGATCTTACAAGACTCATTATATAAATAGTGTCTCCAAATTTTCAATGCAAAGGCTACAGCAGCTAACTCCAAATCATGAGTAAGGTAATTCTCATCATAAGGTTTCAACTGTCTAGAAGCATAGGCAATCACATTATCTTCTTGCATAAAAACATAGCCTAATCCCTTCTTCGAAGCATCATTATAAATAATGAACCCTTTACCCGCAACAGGCAATGTAAGAATAAGAGCAAAAACCAATATTCTTTTCAGCTCTTCAAAACTCTTCTCACAATCATTTAAACATTCAAATCGAACTCCCTTTTCTGATCAATCTGGTCAAAGGCATAGCAATATGGGAAAAGTCCTCCACAAAGCGCTTATAGTATCCGGCTAAACCTAGAAAACTACGAATCTCAAAAACATTATTCGACCTTTTCCACTCTACCATCGCTTCAACTTTTTTTGGGTCAACCAAAATTCCATCCCTGGACACCATGTGCCCTAGAAAAGCCACACTAGAAAGCTAAAATTCACGCTTTTAAACTTAGCAAACAGTTGCTTCTTCCTCAAGGTCTCTAAGACAATTATATTGTTACGAAATTATATTTCAAAATTAAAATAATACTAAATTATATTCCAAATTCATAATAAAAAAATTTTTATATATATTTGTTTGCTCAACCTGATTTACAAAATAAATAGACAAAATAACATATATTATATGTTTTAACTCTAAACATATTGAAGTTGATTTTTAGAAATATAAAAATCGAAAGGACGTTAAATCATTTACCTGATGTGTTAAATCAAAATTTAAGTAATAAATTATTGATTTCTCTTAGTATTTTAATAATTCAAAAAATATTCTAAAATTAAAATTTATCTTGATAACTTAAATTTAATAAGATAAAACCTTCGACGACTCATCTAAGTAAATTATATTCCACTAAATTTGTCAAAAATAAAAATTAATATAATCATTTCATTATAAAGGATAATCGTCTATCTTTAAGACTATTGGGATATTTATAATCTATATTAATCTAAAGTGTATAGATTATTGTTACATGTTGGGTAGCTGTGCAGCCAATGACAGAATCCCAAAACAGTGATGACAGCTATACAGGTCAGTGAATTGCTTCTTTCTTCTTTTCCTAATATTTTTATTGCGTTCTTTCTAGAAAAAGTTGATTAAGATTTAATAATAATTTTTAGAGGTTATGATTTTCAGCAATTTAATGTGATGAAAATTCAGGCTTCAGTTGATAAATACTTTTTTTATTCATAATAAAATATAATGAAAAATTAAAAATAAATAATAAATATATATATAGCAAATGAAATCTAAGCTAAGTGAATAAGATTTCTATTGTAAGAAGTCATGTCAATTCATTTAAAAGAGTAAAAACATAGGAATGATCATCTTAGTCGATTGAGATTGGCTTCAAATAATAATTGGTTTTATGAAAATGAAAATGAAAATGAAAATGAAAATAAAAAATAAAAATAAAGATAAAAATAAATTTTATATTTATATTTATATTTTTTATAATTGAGTTATTTCTTTTTTTCCTAAAGTTATTATTCATTTTTCATACAAAGTGGCTACCTACTGCATAAAATTACAAACAAATAATTTCATTAAATATTTATGTTTATAAAAAATACAATTTTTTATTTTATTTGCTAATTTTAACAAAAAATACTAATTGGATATGTAAATTTTTTTAGTAATTTTAATTTATACTATAAAGTAATACCTTAATAATTATAACTTGAAAATTATAACTAATGTCATGTAAAATACTATTTTAAAATTATTTCTTATTTGATATATTATTTTTATAAAATTTAAAAGATAAGATATATTAATTAGATTTTGTTTTATAAATATTATATTAACAAATATGAATAAACACTATTTTTTAAAAAAAATAAAATCTATCTATAATAAACTATTAAAAGAATCCTTAATAAATCATTTTGGTGAAGATAACTGTTGGTAGACATTTTCTTCTTCTTTCTAAGTTTTTTTTTAAAATTTTTTTATATTTATAATTATTTTAAATTTTATTTTTTGTTATCTTCATTTGATAAAACAAATCAATAAAATTCTGACTTTAATAATTTACATGCGTAGATGAAAAACTATTAAATTTTTCTTAACAATAATTTTCTAACTATTATTGCAAAATAGGTAAAAATAGAGATGCTTAATTATATTAATTTAATTTAAGTTTATAATTAAATTAAATTATTTTGTAAAATGATTTATTCAAAATTAAAAATATACTACTTTTATTTTTTCATTTTCGTTTTTCTAAATTTTCAACTAATATTAAGTCAATAATTTGACTTAATGTACTTTAATTAATTTATTTTTAGTTTATACATCATTAGAAGTTTCTAAAAAACAGTGCAAATAAAATTTTTTTGCACTATTAAATTTAGAAGAACATTAATTATATAATTTATTTTATACTCTATAGTTATTATCATTTGATACATTAATCTGAATTAAACAATGTGAAATGAAGCAAGGGTAAAATACTAGTATGAAATTATGCATGGGTTTTCAAGGAGCTTTCTCCGATGATAAGGTAAAATAAAATAAAATTAAGTCAATAATTTGACTTAATGTCTTTAATTAATTTATTTGTATTCTTTATATCATTAGAAGTTACTAAAAAACAGTATAAATAAAATTTCTTTGCACTAGTAAATTTATAAGAACATTAATTATATAATTTATTATTTTTACACTCTATGTTTACTATCATTTGGTGCGTTAATCTGAATTAGGCAATGTGAATTGTAGCAAGGGTAAAATACTAGTATGAAATTATGGATAGGTTTTCAAAGAGCTTTTTATTATTTTTTTTATAAAAAAACTTTAAAAATAAATAAATATTTTAATTTTTTAAATTAAAATAAGATGTATTTGATAACTTAAAATAAATGATTACAGACTATATATTTAAAATAATTTTAATAAATAAGCATCGATAAAATTTAAATTAAAAATTTTTAATACAAAAAATAATATGATTGAATCAACTAGTTATTAGTAAAGTTTTTTTATTTTATTACGTCGTAACGGAAAACCTGGGTTTTCAAAAGCCATTTAAGTGGGGCCAAAGTTATTTTTAAAAAAACGTGGGGCCAAGATGGATGTGAAACCGCGTTTGTTGTAGTAAGATGAGGCACGAATCAAAGCTATGCAGTAACAATTATTAATAGCAATGATCACAACACAAGCAGCGTCAACCTTTCTCTTGCAAGCCTCTGTTTTCGATCAGCTTCCGTTTCAAAAAGAATGGCTGAATCACTTGTTTCTATTGTCTTGCAGCAGTTACTTTCAATCACTGAACGACAGGCAGAACATGAGTTGAAACTTGTCACTGGGGTTGATGGAGAAGTTGACAAGCTCACCGGTAATCTCCTTGCAATCAAAGCGGTGCTTGAAAATGCAGACAAGCGACAGGTGAATGACCCTGGTGTGAAGCTTTGGTTGGGTAAGCTGAAAGACGTTTCTTACGACATTGATGATGTTTTGGATGAGTGGAACACCGCACTTCTCAAACGACAGATTGAGCAAGCTGAAGGAACAAGAGTTAGAGATGCCCCTCTTCTGAAGAAGGTATGGCCGTCTTTCACTCTTTCCTCTTGTTTTTGTCTCCGCCAAGTTGTTTTGCGGCACGAAATCGCTCTCAAGATTGAAGAACTAAATCAAAGGTTGGCTGCTATTGCCAATGAAAGAAGCCAATACAATTTCACATCGGAGATCAGGGCAAGTCATGAACAAAGAACAATAACAACGTCTGTCATTGCTGAGTCAGAGGTGTTTGTTAGAGAAGAAGATAAGAAAGCAATAAAAGACATGTTGTGTGAGGACAGTGAAGAAACAACTACTAATCTCCGCATCATCTCTGTTGTAGGGATGGGAGGAATAGGGAAAACCACCCTTACACGATTGGTTTTCAATGATGCTGAAATTGAAAGCCATTTTGAGAAGAGAATTTGGGTTTGTGTTTCAGACCTTTTTGAAGAGGAAAGGATTGCTATAGAAATCCTTGAATCTTTAACTGGTAGCAAACCAAATTTAGTTGGAAGGGACAACATACTGCAACAGATTAGTGAGTTTGTTTCTGGAAAGAAAATCCTTCTAGTCCTAGATGATGTATGGAACGAGGATCCTTGTAAATGGGAACAGCTGAAAGGCTCCCTCAAAAATACTTCCCGTGGAAGTAGGATTTTGGCAACTACCCGTAAAGAAACGGCTGGAAACGCTGTGGGAAGCAGAAGAACAGACATGTTTTTTTTAGGAGAGCTGTCTGCTGAGAAGTGCTGGTCGTTGTTTTGTCATCTAGCCTTTTTTGACAGGGCAACAGAGGAGAGCAACAAATTAGAAGATTTTGGAAGGAAATTTGTGGAAAGATGCAGAGGGTTGCCTCTTGCTGTGAAGACTATCGGTTGTCTTCTACGCTTCAAAACTGAAAAGCAGTGGAAAAGCATCTTAGAGAGTCAGATGTGGGAGATTGAAGAGGTTGAAAAAGGTGTTTTTCCTCCACTTTTATTAAGCTATTATGATTTGAAACCTGTTTTAAGACAATGTTTTTCATATTGTGCTATTTTCCCAAAAGATTATCGGATTCGAAAGGATAAATTGATCAAGCTATGGATGGCACAAGGTTTTCTTGAAGAAACACGAAATGAAGGTATGGAGATTATTGGTGAAGAATATTTTAATAAATTAGCTATGCTTTCATTCTTTCAAGATTTCACAAAAAATGAAAACGGTGGCATAATTCGTTGCAAAATGCATGATATAGTGCACGATTTTGCTCAGTTCTTGACAAAAGGAGAATGTTTGTTCGTAGAGATGAATGGTGTGCAAGAACCATGGACAGGTCCCGCTATTAAAACTATTCGTCATTCAATGTTGAAGTTTGAAACAGAGGACACATCGCCTATCCCAATTGATAATTGGAAAAAACTGCGTAGTCTATTGATCGAGTCTAAGGGCAATTTTTCTGGAGATTCAAACTGTACAGAGTATTTATTGATAGATTCAATTGATCAATTGACATGTCTAAGGGCGTTAGATTTGGGTGCGCACCCATTTTTCCCGCCAGTGAGAATAATTTCTGATAAAATAGGAAAATTGATACATTTAAGGTATCTTAATTTATCAGGAATTAGGTATTCAAAAATACCTGAAGCCTTATGTGAATTATACAATTTACAAACATTGGACATCCGTTATTGTAGAGATCTCAAAGAATTGCCGCTTGGAATTGGAAAACTAATCAACTTGACGTATCTTGAGAATGAGGGTACACCTTTGAGTTTTATGCCAAAAGGAATGCTGAGATTGAGGCGTTTGCTGAAGTTGGATGTGTTTGCAGTAAGAAAAAGAGGTGTTGTGGAGAGTAAATCATGTAGCCTTGAAGGTTTGGGAAAGTTTACTCATCTTCAAGGGAATCTGACAATACAATTTTGTGCCATTGGGGCAAGGGAAGCAGCACCACTCTCGGCTATGACTGGCCTTCGCCAGTTGACTCTAGACTTTGATTCCAATGACGCGCAGGATGAAGCATTTTTCCTCCAAGCCTTACGACCACCTCCAAACCTGGAAAGCTTATATATTTCGCGTCTTGAAGCTCCCATCTTGTTTTGTAATTGGATGATGCCATTGACGATGCTGAAGAGTGTTAAATTAGGTAGTTTTGGAAACTGCGAAAGTTTGCCTCCCATGGGGAAGTTACCATTCCTTGAATCTCTACACATAGATAATATGCATAAAGTGAAAAAAGTGGGAGAAGAATTTTTGGGGATAGAAAGAGCAGGGGGACAAATTACTTCGTCATCATCATCATCATCATTATCAACATCCTCATATATTGCTTTCCCCAATTTGAAAAGTCTAAAGTTTTTGTACTTCGGAGAGTGGGAAGAGTGGGAAGAGTGGGAATATGGGAACCTATCCACAACCAGTGGAGGTCAATACTGTTCTTGCATTGCCATTATGCCATGTCTTCAGTCCTTGATTTTTCAGTCTTGTCCAAAGTTAAAGGCCCTGCCACACCAACTTCTTCAGAATACTGCAATACAGGTGTTGAATATAACTTCTTGCCCTATTCTTAAAGAACGTCTTCAGTCTTCAGAGGACTGGCCGCACATCTCTTGCATCATCAATATATGAAAAGAGACGGGCATTGAACTCCTGGCTTACAAAGCACTGCAAAAAGCTAGGTATATATTTTTCCTTTTTAATTTTTTTATTTTCTTTACTAAAAATAGTTATCTTTTAACATTATTGAATGTGTTTCTCCAAACTAATACCAATTTTTTTACTAATGCAATGCAATGCAAGTACATTTACTAAGTTTTTTATCCAAAATAATTACTCAATCCTTTCTTCCATCTCCTTCCTGATTATATCTATTTACTACTTTATGTATAGAAATAAATTTTACTTCTTTTCTTCTGAAAAAGTATCAGATTAAGAAATAAATAAAATATTTATTTATTTATTTACTTGCCCATACCAAAAATATATATATTAATCTTTTTCTTCATTTATTTGCAGTTATCCTTTCTCTCTCTTTCTTTTGGTATATTTTATAGGAGCAGCTCGATTAATTGCATTCCTTCTTTCATGTAAGGGTAAGTAAGATATATGATGCATGACAGAATCCGTGCTTTTTGAATTTTCGGTAAATTTTTTAAATTTGATCCTGAGAATTAGCTTCATTGCACTTATTAAATGTTTAAATTTGATTGACTTGCCGATACAGTTACTTATGACTAGGTTAATTAAAAGGAATCTATCATATCAAACCAAATTCTTGGGAATCTTGATTGGTATGACCTCATCAAGTCAGCCTTATCTTTGTTTTTTTTCTTTTCTTTGGTAGAATGACCAATCTTGATGGCCTCTTTCAATTTGCAGAAGATTTTGGGCATAGGGAATGCAAAAATGTTTGAAATCATAAGTAAACTGCATTTTTTGAAGTTGGTTAATTCTGCATTCTCAAAGAATTGATGCTAATTGATGGATACTGAAAACTAAGCAACTTGAGAGGTAAATGATTAATTAGTGGCTATAGCTATCTTTTATCATGAGATGTATATTTTGCTTGCTTATTTCATTCATTCAAGTGGCCTTCTAATATATGCTTTCTCTTTTATTGGCTTTCTCTTATCAGACATGAAATTCCATCTGGAGAAGCCAACATTGTAATCCACATCAAGTCATTAAAGAATGACCATGATTCTAATTAGTCAATGATTAAGGATGTATGGAAGGTGGACTATATAGTTGACCCATTTTCAATTGTTAGTAGCTTAAGGTTTGAATTTCCATGGTCTTCTATTCAAATTTTCAAATGCTTGAACCCATACTTAGCTAATTATTTGGTATAGGTATTGGAATTCCAATTCTTCTTCCTCAAGTATTTCATGGTAAGGAAAGGTGATGTGACAACAAGGAGAAAAGAAGGCAAGCCTCCACAATTATTTCTTGGTAAGGAAAGGCACCGTGTTCTTTTTCCTAAATGTTCTGCCTATCTGCTTGAAAGAAGAAGAGGATTAGGGGTGAGTCCAATGGCTTCATGCTGGAGCTATGGTGAGTGAAGGAAGGTTTACCTCTTGCTAAATCTCTCAACATTTTATTTTGATTATTGAAATGGATGCTGCAATTGTGTGGTGCAGTTTTTGAAACAAGGTATGAATCGCCTCATGTTGGTATAATCTTCTCGAAAACTGTCTTCTGCTCATGCAAGTAAATTGGATCATGAAGATATGGAACATCCTGTGGAAGGGAAACAGAGGTGCCAATTTGTTGGCTTGATGTGCTCAAGTTGCTGGACCTGTTTTTACAATTTTAAAAATTCCACTGCTTGAGTTCGGGGCTATTTTAAATGTCAAATATGGCCGGTCCAGCTATAATGCAACTTTGAAATTGAGGCTTTTCCCATTTCTTCTGTACAAAAAAAAAAAAAAGGTAGGAGATGTTTGGGTGAGAAAATAGGGTTGTGTTGTTTATTTACAAATTTCATTGCTTTATGGTTTCATTTTCTATAACAGCTTATCCAAGAGCTCAATGACTTACCAGGATCTATGCGCAGAACTGGAACCAAAAAGATTAAAGGTGACATTGTTACAAGCTTATAACTTGAAGTATCTATGGTCTGGATATTGGAATTTTCCACTTGAGTTCACCAGTCTTTAGTATAAAGATTTCATATTTGTTCAAAGATAATGTTGCTGATCTTTCCATGGATTTTTAATGTGTACAGAAACAAAGGAAATGCAAGCCCCGATGGCCATAGCAGCTCTAAGAAACATGACCAGAAGAAAAAAAAGGTGACCATATTACTTGAAGAAATTCAAAGTGGATGCCAGGCCAAATTCCAATGCAAGCCATTCAAAATACTCCAAGTGGACAGGTATTTGAAGACTTGGGATGCTTTTACCCCTGAAAAATTATCCTTTTGTCCTCTTTTAAGTTTTGGTTATGGATATCATACTAATTCTGATCATACCAGTTCCGCTTCATAGCCTCTACTCTCTATATAACAGATCCTCCGCCACAAAGAATGCTTACATTAATTGATCTCTTCTGCTATTTTTTTTCAATGAGGAAAATTTTGAAAGAGTCAAGTTTTAATCAAGCACAACGTAGCAGTCTTAAGGTTTATTTAAAATTTGATGTTTCCCTTCATTCTCTTCTTCAGCTTAAACTTCCATATAATTGGTGGGGACAATGGTCTATGGTGGTCGGAAGAATTCTTATTTCACTTTGTATGGCGGTAGTGATGCCTTTGATACTTACTACTACTCAGTTCCTGACCTTTACCCCTCTTCTTACTTTCCACTATTTTTCTATTTTTTTTGCTCTTTAGAGGGGCAGGGAATTCGAACGTCTAATCTTTTTTGCCAACTGACCAAAAGGACTATTTATGCAGGTTTTGTGGATTTTCCCTGAATATGTGACTGGGAATAGCAATAATGAGATGCAATAGCAATAATGATCCAAGTTGGTGTGTCTCTATCACCATTGTCGTCACTAATACAAACTTCTGCAGAGCCTGCCTAACAGCTTTGATTTAAGAGCTTACTAATTGAGATCTCTGCACGGAATTGAAGCCAAAAAGATTAAAGGTGACATTAGTACATGCTCTATAAGTTGAAGTATCTTTTGGATATTGGGATTTTTCATTTGACTTCACTAGTCATAAGTGCAAGATTTTATTTATTAAGAGTTAACAATGTTGATCTTGCTATGGATTTTTCTTGTGCAAAGAAACAAAAGAAATGCAATCCCTGATATCTATGAGCAGAAGAGAAAAAGTTAACCATACAAGTTGAAGTCAGTCGACTAGGGTACTAGCAAAATTTCAATTGCAAGCCATCCAAAATGCTTTGAGCGGACAGGTATCTTAGAATTTGCAAGAAGCCTTTACCCCTGAAAAGTTTTCCTTTTGTCCTCTTTAATTGGTTATTGATATCATACTAATTTATATAGGTTTTATGGATTTTTCCAGGATGAGCATGTGGCTTTGGGAAATTAATGATCCAAATTGGTGTCTCTCTGGTACTGATGGTGTCTAATGACAATGGTTGGTGGTTCAATCCTCCTCTCCAGTACTTTGGTTTCTTGGAGTCTGCCTTTTTTGGCAATTGCCCAATACTGAGCTGGGATATGTATGTTGTCTTTAAAAAGGTAAGAAACCATATAACTTGTAATTTAATTTCTTCTTTTTTTTTTTTGATAAAACAATCCCTGAAGTTTGTTAAGCGTTAAGATTGAACAATTTTAATTGTCTTTGTTTCTTTCTTTTTTAATTTTTTATTTAGATTTTGATTGTTGAAATTTTGTGCTGGTCTCCCAGAAACCCTGCGTTAAGAAAGGAGGGATAAGATTCACTTTCAATGTCAGTGGCCGTCAAAGGGTCCAAAACAAGGTGTGGCAAGCCATGCCGAGAAAGTGCGCTGAGATTGGAGGAGCAAAATGGCCAAAGCCTGTCTATCCAAGTCACAAACTCCAACGATAGAACTGTGACAAGCTATAAAGCAGTGCCTGCAAATTGGTGCTATATTTTGTTTTCCCCACACTTTTTGTTTTACCCAGTAAAAAAGAAACGTGCATGAAAAAGCCTTGTCTTGGTTCGTTGCTTTTATTTCATTGTAAAGCTAGCCTCATACAGCTGATTACATGTAATTTCCATGCTCTGGAACCATGATATTGTGCACGACAGAAACATATTGACGTGATTTATTGCAAAAATGCGTGATAAACCTTGCGCACTATTTTGCTCCATTTTTTACGGAAAAGGAATGTTGATAGAGCTTGATGGTGTGAAATAACCATGGAAAAATCCCTCTTTCCAAACTATGTTATTCAATGTTGATGTTTGAAGGAGAAGCCATATTTGCTATCCCAGTGGATAATTGGACAAACATGCGTACTCTATTGTTTAAGCCAAATGATAAAGGAGATTCAACAATGAATGAGAATATTTACGTGGTAGTAACTGTTCTTAGAGTCGAGCTGAAGGGTAAATGCTTGAAATCAAAGGTGACTGAACTTAGGTGATTGGAGTCAGAATAAAGTTCGAAGTTGTCTCTAATGTTTGTGCTTTGACGTTCAGGGTAAGAGAGTATTTACATCTACAGAAGGCATCCGGATCCTGGACCTGAGCTCCTCAAGTCTGGTCCAAGTAGCGATTTGATCTGACATGGCAAGTACGCATCCAATAAGAGAGTGACAAGTCAAAGTAATCATATATTATCAAGTGAAATATGGTGTTGGCTGAGTTGATGTAGACTCCGAAAAATAAGTTCAGTCTGTCACATTAACTCGGTTCAAACGATTAAAATAACCTTAAACTAATGATGAGTCATTTCTTAAGGTAAAAGATAATTATACTCTTATAACCATAAAATATTGCTAACAAATGTTCTAATATTATTAGATGCATTCTCATAATCCAATTTTATCCTCAATAATTTATACACATACTTCATTATGCAATTAGTTTTCAAGAGAATCATTTTGTATAAAATTAGTATAATATCAGTGTTTCATTATGGATTTTTTTATTTAATATAATTAAAAATTTGAAATATATAAAAAACAACATACCAAGAAATAAATAATCAATTTAAGAATTTATGTATCAAAGAGAAGTAGGATATAATACATCTTCATTTACATAAAGAGAGCAATATGGAGTTTCTTATTAAAAAAAAAAAAAAAAGCAATGCAAGGTCCATCAAAGGGAGGAAAAAAATTAAAACCACATTTTCCAAAAAAAAAAAAAGCAAATATAAAGAGGTGTGTTCATCAATTCAAGGAGGAGTGAACTTTTTAGAAATGTCTAAAAGGTCAAAAATTCCAACCAAATTTTAATATCCTATTGTCAACATTTTGCCTAAAGTAACTGAACTCAAACATAAAATCTTTTAAGTTTATCATGGTTCAATGTGGGAAGCATTAAATGTGGAGTTATCACTAGAAGTCCTTCAAGTAATTGTGATTTCATGGCAGTAATGGAAAATTTTTTACCACCGATAGCAAAATGATTCTTCATGAATGGGTTGCTCACAGAAACAGAAGTCAACTGATGTTTTGCTGTTTGTACTAAGAAGCAAAGGAAGAAACTCTAGAATTGAATAGTTTAAGATATTTGAAGTATAAAAGGCAGTTCCTAACAATAAAAACTGACACCCCACTTTTTGCATTATCTAAAAATTTCTCTGATCATAGTAGAAACTAAAGCACAAGATGTGATACGGCATGAATTTCGGTATGTGCCATGCATTCATCCCATCAGAATGAGTGCACTTAAAAATGCGTCATTGCATGTTGGGCTTCTAACAGAAATAAATATAAAACTATTCCATACCAGTATCAAATCAGCAGTAGGTAGAAATTCAACTTGATGGGTCACAAAAACAACAGTCTTACTTGCCAGTGCTATCATTATGCATTCTTGCAGTTCCAAAATGAATTATTCAGCCAAATTCTATTGATAAGAACACTAATGTACAGTACATCGACTGAATCAAACCTTCAACAATTCTGAGCTAGAGTGTGCAACAATAGCACTTAAGGGGTCATCAAGTAAATAAATATCAGCATCTTGATAAAGTGCCCTTGTAAGCTGCACACATTGTTTCCGTCCACCACTAAGATTTACGCGCCTATCTCCAATTATGGTCTCATCTCCATGTGAAAAGAGTTCAAAATCCTTGGACTACCAAAAGGAATGTTCTCTTCAATATTTCCAAACTGTATCCAAGCTGACTGAGACATATAGGGAGCAGTACCGTACACTCGAACTTGTTCAAACACCAAAGTAAGAGAATAACAAATCTAAAAGCCTTTCCTTTAATCGGGAACAAATCACAAAACTAACAAAGAATAAAATTTGAGGTAGAAAATAGTTTGAAAGTTCTATAAATCAAACATACTTCACCAGAGACTTTAGGAATCTCCCCTCAGATGTAAGAGAGGAAGCTTGATTTCCTAGTGCCAACCATGCAACAAACTGCCACATGCATCCCCCTTTCTACTTTCATTTGTATTCCAGAGAAAGTGGGCCTTGAAGAAGAGGGGTCCCAGCAAAACTCACCATCCGTAATCCCTACAGCCACATTTGATATGCCTCGGGGCAAAACAATGTGGCCTTTTCCTGCAGTTCTTCCTCCTACAGGAATCCAGAAATTCGATCAAGAGAAACCTATGTCTGCGCCATCATAGACACCAGGTCTGGAAAATTCTTGAGTGGTTCTTGAAGGATTCTGAATGTGGCAAGCGCAGAAAGAACACGGCCTGCTGTGAGCTGACCTCCCAACAATATAGAAGTTGCAAATGTAACAGCTGCAACAAATATGGGGAAGCTCCAGAAAATGAATGTAATAAATGCCTAAGAATAGAGGGCCTTCCGTAGCCACTTGAATTCTGCACCCCGCATCTCCTCCAATTTCACTCGGCACCTATCCTCCCAAGCTTGTAACTTTAGAATCCTCATGTTCATTGAACACTTAGAAATCTTCCTCATTCTTTCATCCTTGGCAGCCATTAACATTCTTGTTTCATATGTGGACTTCCACAGAATTGCAAATGAAGCATCCCATTGGAGGAAGAACATCCATCGCAGTTTATACACAACAAAAACAAATTAGCATGTATTCAAAAACCAAATCAAATAAAAAATAACAACAACATTATGATCAAACCTCAACTTGAATGTTCATAGCAAGGATCCTTGATTGACCTCAAAATCAATAGATTCCTACAAACCACCAAACCATCGATAAAATCAGAACAAAACTGTAAAAAAAAAAAAAAAAAAGCTTAATAAAAAAAAAATAAAAAACCACATTGAATCCTTGAATTACAAAAACAGATACCAAACTTAGATAGTTAAAGCATACCATTTAGGGAGAATAGAAAATTCTTATTCAACTAAGATAATTAAAGCAAACCACTTGATGATATTCTCTCTGACGTGCTTTTCACCTTTTCCTTCGCTAATTGTACTTTGTAGCACTTTTTTTGTCAATCCTAAAATAATTTAAGGTTGCTAGTCATGGTTCTTGATCTATTATTCCTTAAAAAAAGCAGGAAGATGCTGTTGATAATGAAATTTACACATCAGAACACAATTTGTCTTCAGCCACATACCACTTGCTGCATGATGATTTTGACACCATTCCCCCTTTTTATCTAAACACTCTTTTCATTGATGGATAACAAGATCAGGACCCTGAAAAAGAAAATATTCTGAATTAGATCTAAAATATTAGCATTTCTCACTGAACATAACTCAGAGTATTAGAAAATATAGAAATGCTCTTCTACAAATATATGTAAGACTTTTAACCACCCAAAAAAATAAAACACTTCATTTCCACAGATAAATTAGAAATATACAGCATAAATTAAATAAGATAATGTTATAACCATCACAAGGCATTTTTAATCAGATAAACTAAATTGAAGAACTACATTGCTATCCAATACTACCTTCGTTTAGGAAAATGGTCATGAAAGATTTGACATTGAAGAGACCATTATGGACAATCTCGAGAAGAAATTACTGTCATGTGACAAATAGATAATGGCCAGACAAATTTTTTTTCTTTTCAAGTTA